GAAGACGGGCCATCCATGTAAGTCTACGCCGCATATTTGCCTGAGCGTGCAATCGTTGCCCGAAATCCATACAAAGTATTTTTTTTACTTTTCCTTAACTTCGCTACAATTCATAGTGAATAACTTCTATGGGATAACCAACATGTTTCATATTCTCATTAAAACTACTTTTTAAAAGATTTTCTTCGTATTTTTGTTGAGCAAACGCGAGGTGTTATTATTCTTTGTTCACGATTAAGCTGACGTTTCGGCGGATTTCGCCTTCCTCAGAGCCTGGAAAGGTCAGGATCTCTTCGACCACCTTCCGTCATATGAAATAAAGGAGGATGGATATGTTGTACCACCGGTTCTCCCTTCCGAAATCCGACATGCGATTTCGTCGGTAAAAAATCGAGCAGCACGAGGTCCGGAGAGAATAAGACCAGAACACTTGAAGAAGCGTCTGCAAGTCCTCGTAAACACACTGACTCGGCTCTTCACGCGTTACCTGACTGAATGCAACGTTCCTACTCAGTGGAAGACCAGGAAGACCGTATTATTGTGCAAGAAGGGTAACCTGCGCGATATCGGCAACTAACGCCCAGTCTGCTTACTGTCTGTCGTCTAAAAATCTTCACTCGAGTCATCCTAAACAGGATTGACAGAACACTAGACGAAGGATAGCCATGTGAGCAAGCAGGGTTTCGAAGAGCATTTAGTACGATGGACCACATCCACACGGTAACAGGGCTCATTGAAGTATCGCGAGAGTACAAAAGACCGCTTTGTCTCACTTTCATCGATTTACAGAAGACCTTTGATTTAGTTGAGATGGAGGCAGTCTGGGAAGTCCTTGATAGTCAAGGAGTCCCTACTGAGTGCATAAAGATTCTTCGTGAGCTGTACAAGTGTTCCACAACCAAGATATCACCATTCTACAACGATATTAACATTGACGTCAAAAGAGGAGTTAGGCAAGGCGATACTATCTCGCCAAAATTATTTACCGCCATCCTCCAGAACGTCATGCGAACATTGGAGTGGGATAATATGGGAGTGAAATTCGACGGTCGGCAGTTACATCATCTTCGCTTTGCTGATGACGCCGTCCTTATAACACCAAACATTAGCCAAGCGGAACGTATGCTTGGCGATTTTGATAAAGCCTGTGGAAAGATTGGCCTTCGACCAAATCTCACAAAAACGATGTTCATGAGGAACGGATTTGTTTTGCATGCCCCATTCACGTTCAACGGAACGAATATCTCTGAATGCTTCAATTATATCTAACTAGGTCGGGAAATCAATATGATGAACGACCTAGCTTCAGAGCTGAGCAGAAGAAAACGAGCAGCTTGTGGTGCTTTCAAGAGCATCGAGGATGACGTGAAGAGAACAAAGAACACCCGACACCGTGCCCACGTTTTCGACTCAACGGCACTTCCTGCCCTAACGTACGCATCAGAAACCTGGTCGCTGCGTAAGCAGAATGAGAGATCACTCAGCGTTATCGAACGCGCAGTCGAAGGGACGATGCTAGAAGTATCCCGTTCTACACAAGCAAGGAATGGGATCAGAAGCTCCCACCTGCGTCAACGATTAAAAATCAAGGATGCCGTTCTGTACGCTAGACACTCGAAGATAAGGTGGGCCGGATACGTAATCGTATGTATGACAACCGATGGACAAGAGCCGTTAGTGAATGGATTCATCGGGATGTCAAACGCACTGCAGGAAGACCACCGGCCCGATGGTCAGAGTTCCTCACAAAGGGCCTTGAAAAAAGATATGTTGCTCGACGAGTCCCTAGAGCGTCCAAACCCACTGGGCTACTCTTGCATGCTACAATCGAGGCTTCGTCAATTACAGAACCAAGATGATTGCGCACTTGCGCCCATTCGGAACAGTTACAGCCATACAGTTTCGGCTGGCCATTATTTCGTGCAGACATAAATTATTCGCGAAAAAGTGAGGAACTGTTTCGAAACCGGCTTTCCTTGAACCTCGGTATCAGTAATCAATATGTATTCTTTCTTTGATTCGAGAAGATGGCTCAGTGAGGAAGGGCTGACTCGACACGAAGGCGAAGCTGCAACGTCGAGACGAACAACAAGCATGGACCATCGACTCGGTTCATCGGCTCTGAGGAAGACGAAGACGTCGAAACGTTAGCCGAAATGAATAAATATCATTATCAATCTCCTCGTGTTAGCTCATCAAAGAAAGAATACATAGTGAGGAACTGTTTTGCTCGGATCCGATCCTCATGCTAAATGTGAGCGTCTCTCCTTAAACGAACTCTTCCCACCTTTCCTTTTGATCACGTACTCTTGACTGTTTTCATCTCCTGATCACCAGTTTCTGTTTTTTTTTGGACGCATAATCGAAATTAAGAAATCAAACATTTGCCACTGTTAATTGCAAACTCGGGTTCAGTGTTATGTGAACTGTTTGTGCTTCAAAAAAATTTATTACTGAGTGGACGGTGCGGAGAATCCCTGAGGCGACTAAGCTTTCCTGAAGGGCCCATATATCCTGGTTTTCGTAGCGCTACTATGCGTTTCTTAACTCTTGCGATGGAGGGAAAACTCCAGCAGGATTATTTTCATTCCTGTTACGATGTTTTCCTAAATATCTGTTTCGGCCTGAAGTGGTATACACGACAAATTCGACGATAAGAGCAGTCCGTGGTAGATACTTCACTCGACAGTTCATAAACGGCCATTTTTTTGTAACGTTTAAGGTGTATCGCCTTTCTTTGATTTTAGATCGAGCTCGATGCATAATTTCATTGGAATCACAAAGATCGCCATCTGAAGAAATTGAAACTAGTGGCCCAATTCCCAGCAAAAAGAATTACAAGATTGACATCCGTAATAAGATATTGTACAAAGAATAAGCAGGAAAGACGTCTCACACATCTATGATATGAGAACATATTTCGTACGTAATCTCTGATTGGGACTCAGCAAGTATGGAGAATTTTGCTATCAAATAGAGAATTCGCTATTTGCCCAAGAAAAGTCGGTATAGTTCTGTGTATTTAATAAAGGAAATTTTTCTGGTGACACGACAGAGGACGCGATCTGGCGACTCCATAACTATAACACCTGATGACCCCCAGTGCCAGAACAAACCAGAGGCGCCCCAATGGCATAACCAAAGGGAGGGCAATGGCATGACCAAAATTGTTCAGATTAGATAAATTATTAGTTTTGGTCATCTCCGCACCTTCTTTAGCAATATGGAAGGACGGCCTAACACTAACATGACGTGGAAGATTGTACGATAGATTGATCGATTAAGAAGTGTGAAAGAAGGGATGCAGATGACCTAATCTATGCTAACGAGGAGACGAAGATGGCTTAGCCAGTTTTGTCTATGCCATTCTCCACTCGTTGGCTGTTCGCGACGTAGGTGCTTCAACAGTGAGGATCATACGTTCTTCTTTTATTTGTTTTCTGAACGAGAACTACGACGTGATCGAGCCCTTACCTTATCACGAAATATATTCCATAAAAAACTTCATATAAGTTTCCATCACTACGTAGGGCTGTTTTGTAAAAGTACAATGCAAAGAAAGAAAACAACGTTCTGCTATTGGCTTATTTTACATCTCTACTCCTCATTTTCCACATCGGACCAGCATTTTTCAACAGTTACTTATTATTTCACCCCAGAAAGTGTGAAAATTTGCAAGCAATTATTAAATTCACAGAAACATCACTTGATCGATAAAGTCTGACTTATCACTTGCTTATTTGGATACTTAAATGACCAGTCCTCACTGCTTGTGCTGGCCCCAACTTGGTCTCCATTTCTCGAAGCTTTGCCGGCTTGGCCACTGTGGTTCCCTGGAGTCCCAAGGTCAGCTAGGACAGTCGCGGCCCTTGTGGAACAGGTGATTTACTAGCATGCGACTAGTATGGTACCAGGACGGTGATGTATGACGTTGAAGTCTTATTTATTGGAAAGACAATTTCTTGCAAACCTCAAGAAACAAATTTCTTCAAAGATTGACGACTTTGCGTAACATTAGCTATTTCTCCTCTATAGTATAGCGCGCATCTGACATATGAACAATTTGAAATTGACCAATGGATAGATATTGAAGTTATTCTTAACCAAACAGTCTTCTACCTCTGGTAGGAGTGGTTCGGGTGAAATGGCTAGCGTCATTTATGGACTTAGATAGACTTTGAAGAAAAACTTTATTGGATTTCCAAACAAAAGAATAACAGACAGTTACCTCAATCCGATATCACCATTAAGAACACACAACGATTTAATATGGCTAAATTTTATGAGTGAATAATACAATCAAACAGAAATTACAACACTTAATTTTTTATTCTCCCCCTATTACTTCTTGCACGGCAATGTATTATGTGAGATACAACCACAATAATGCCAAGACATTTGCAAAACGTGAGAGGATCCTTAGTTCGAATCTGGCCTGTGGTCCAGGTTTTGCAAATGTCTCAGCATTACTTTGGTTGCATCACAATAATAAATGTGTTTAAATACTAAGATCTGAAGCATTTTTAGACTCGACAATTAGGATTTCTACGGCGTTTAATTCTGGCGGAAGAGGCTGGAGCTGTAGTGGTCCCATTTTGTTCGACGCTGTCCTCAGAACAGCTTCTTCGAGCCATGTCCGAGCGAGCCCTGCGCTTTCGACTCTGTTTCACCGAATCGATTCTGTCTCCTGATTCTATTCCTCCATTCCACAATTCAACCACAGCTTGTAGACTGTTCTCCAATCGAATAAGTAGGTCGCGGTCGAAATTGAAGAAATGTATTTCCTGAGGAAATGCTAATTAGCATCGTACTGTACCAAGGTTCCAACGAAGGTTAAAAGCTCTCAGAGGTTTTCAACACTTTTATTGACTTCGAGATAAAATAAACGCACCGCTACAGCACGACACAAGCTGTCTATTTTAGCGTGCACGCGTTCACGATATATACTGAAAATATTATGAAAATTATTTGTATGGCTAGTGAAAGAAATTGGTGAAAATTTAAATAGAACACCGTCTTCTTTCTGCTTCTCTTTCTAACGAACGGAAGTGGGCTGTCATCGCTATTCGATTACGTTCATACTCCTCCAACGTTTTTGACTCCACCTCTGTCAACTCGCCACCTAAAAATATCCTAAAAATGAGAAAAGGAACTGAAACGGATAGAAATGCGAATAAACCAGGAAATTTTCCTCGTCCGTCTTTTGAGAAATCTACTCCCTCTCCACTTTCAGCGCATTTTTCGGGAATTTTAACTGCTGGTTTCAAATGCTCGCGATAGTCATTGTAATGATCACTGTCATAAATTCGGCTTATTAAGTTTTCGGCAGCCCCGTAATCTTCTCTGACGTTATCAGTATCCAACTGTGGATTCCCATTTAACGTATGCAGTTAAACCGGACCCCTCATCAGCTTTCTTCGATTTCTCAGCAACATTTTTACTACAAGCTGGGACCGAGTTGAAGCATATTTTGTTTAAGAATAAAAGTACGTAATAGAGAACTGAACGAACCCCTTTTTGCGGCTGTATGAGGACCACGCTTAGCGGTCTGTGCAACTAACTGAAGCTCTTGAGGAGTTATAGTCATAATTCTTCTTTCAAGTGCTGTTCCAGGCATGCAGAATTGATTGCATTCGGCTGCAAAAGACCAACACAATACGGAATCCAAGGTTATGTTACTAGAAAAGTAAAACGTACATTGTAAAATCATAACGATTACTGGAAATGGAAGTTTCTTTTCACTCATATCATAAATGCGGTTGAGAATGCGCTCATAAAGGCGTGGCTTCTCAGGGTCATGAAGATGGTGATCAGAATATCTCACTTCTATAATTCTGCAACAAACAGACACTTGAAGACAAGGAATGACAGACAGTCTAAATATCAATCTGATAAAGAACCCACCCATCAGATCGGTATGTCTTCTTAATAAAGGCCGTACATACTTGCTCTGTACGAACAAGTGGCTTCTTCCCCGTTTCTGCCACTAATGGATCTATAAGCTGGGTAATGCCTTTAGGACCTGCTCCATCGCATCGAAAAAATTGTACTATTCCCTGCTTTACAGCCTTGCTTCCTCTGGGCATGCGAAAATTACCACCTCGGCTTTTCATCCGAGATAAGAAATCCTTAAAATAAGCTTAAAAAATTTAATGACGAGAAAGGACCATTATTTCAGCACTCACATCGAACTGAATTTCACTATCAAGTAATTCTCGCTTGATATCTGTCGCAACTCCATGAACTTGAAACATATGCTCACAAAGCTTCTCTAGCGTGCCTAGTCTTTCGTGGCACTGAAACTCACACAAAATTACGCTTATCAAAGTTACCATGGAAATCAAAGAATATTGAGAGATTTCAGAAATTACCCCAGAAAAGCCGCATGGAAAAATCTTAGGAGTGAACACATCGCAACGTCCATATTTCCGAATAAGATGTCGATGCTGATAAAAAATTGATTTCTTCACTGTTATTTTGCAAGACGAACAATAACGGTAATCCTGAATCCAAAATTACTTAGAAAAATTGAAACTTGACGCAGCCTACATTAAAGATTACTATTTTTTGTTGGTTTCCAGTGATATCTTGTCCCATTTCAGGGTTATCTACAGTAATATTATGACTCTGAAGAAACTGAAAATGGAGAATAAGTGGAAATTTTCGGATAAACAATGTAGATCGAGACAAAAGGTTGGACGGCTCACATCAATTTGTTTATCATGGTGGGCCGTTACTACATCTAGATCACCATCCTAAAACAAGAATCTCAGCATCCTCACATTATTTTTATGAAATCGATAGAACACTTTTACTCACCACTGCCTCACCAATATCATTCGGATCCACAATTCTTTCGGCTTCACTAATATCATCCTGAATTATCTCTGGCATCTCAGCAACGTCATCCAGTTCTGCAAATTAAACTTTAGCTTTTCTTTAAAAGGAATCTTAACTACTACACGAGAGCTACTTGAAGAAGAATTCGTGACAATGTGAGAAGCTGAAAACAGAGGATGAAAATATTCTACCGTTTCCCAGTATTCGAGGAGTTCTAGGTGATCCTTGACGTGGATTAACCGCTGCACCGTCCATTTCCTGAAAGCCACTTTGCTATTAACTAACCATTTGAAAAAAGACCTATCTAGATAATAACCAACAGAAGGAAACTACTATTAATAATCAACATGATAGTAATAACAATAAAAATAGTAATAGTAACACCACAAACACCAACTTATGATAATAAAAGTAGCATCATAAATGATAATAATAGCGATAATAATAATAATGATAATAGTAACGGCTATTGACGTAGCTTATTACCATTATCATATGGTGATGATAATGACAGAAATGAATGCAAAAAAGTAAGAATGAAGATTTTACAGGAGATACCTCTCGGTATCTCCGTTTTTGGTGTCCTTGATATTCAGAAACATCGATTCCCATGATCTCCATCAGTACATTGAAGGACTCTTGCTTGTGTTCCGGCAATGATTCAAGAACATCACAAACCAACGACTCTCTAAAATGGTTGGCAACTTTCTTACGCCTAAAGCTGAAGTGAGAATAAACATCTTTCTTCCATGGCACTACCACCTGAACACAATTCTTCAACACATAACACCCCACGCCGGTTTCTGACAACCGACGATAACCTCTCCATCGTTGGAGTGAGTAGCTGAGAAATTCATGGATTTATGGAAGAGAATATACTATGTCGCTCCAAGCGCGTACAATCTTCTTATGAAATATCTCTCCATTTTTAAATCCGTTCAGAATCAAAGCAGTTAGAAGATCAAATCGATGTCTGTGAAATTTCCAACGCCGAATATGGATTACAATGCTTTCTAGTTCAACAGATAAAGGCCACTTTAATATGAGATGTACTGGTCTAAACATGATCGCTCACTGCCTTCGCAACCTACACATTGCGCAATCGAGCGTTATGCATTAAAGGTCACATGAACATTACGATAAAACAAAGATCCTACATGCACTGGTCGTCACTCCAGTCTGAAACGTTAGCTGCAGAGTCCCTTCTCGATACAGTGATTGGGCCCTTTGATGTGAAGCCTGTACCACCTTCGCTTGATGACATTCGCTCTAAAATCAGACATTTCTTTTAAACATAATATTAATTTTTTAGACATTTCCAACAATACACCAAATATTAGAAAGATCTGATAGGATAATATTCTAAAGGAGATACGACACTAGTATAATATACTACGACAAACAAGTGCAAATTACCTGTTTCTGTTTGGACGTTTTTCCTAAGTACGACCCACTTCTTCAGTTCCTCCCGTAACGTTTTTTTTTCTCAAAGCAATAAACTCACTTAGCTCCTCCAAAACATGTCCTGACGGGTCTAGGAAACTATACAGCTCTTCCATTTGTTCCTCATGCGAAACCGTTCCTAGCCTTTTTAAAAGGCGTTCATGTTGACGACTCGACTAAAACATAGACATTGACATAATGCCTCACATTTAAAAAACGAAAACAGCTACTCTGTAACTGAAAACTGTAATATTGAAGATATACAAATGCGACAAGGCTACGAGCTGATATAATGATTTCAGCAACGAGCAGTTCGCAGAAATATTAGCCAACACGAAAGAAATACTATATAACAGCCACATGTGGGCAAATCAAATATGTGGGAAACTAAACTAAACTAGAAAAATCATATCAGATGTAATAAGACAAGAAGATCACTTCTCCTGCTTACTATTTTCAACATTGCATTCCCTTTCAACTTCCATGGCAATATAATCACGGGAATTGGTTATACATGCAGTCTTATCATGTTCGTGTAGTTGTTGAAGATTTACTTTATTGATTATAAAACAACATAGAGTAATTCAGTAGCTATCAGAGAAGCTGCTAATAATGTCGAAAAATATTAAAAGAAACATAGTAGTATAACGAATATAAGCACCCATTCACACACGGCTGTAGATTCTGTACAATTAAAGAATTCTAACCAACAGCTGGCAACATTAAATACCATGTATGATCAGCATTCAATGGAACTAAACAAAATCTTGTTAGTAACACCATATACTTAGATACCAAGACGTCCCATCCTCACTATTTGTGTGGGCCCAAGGACATACTCCACTTTTTCGAGACTTGCTGGTTTAGACCTTGTGGTTCTCTAGAATCTCAATTTCAGCTTGGCCAAAGTCGGTCCCAGTTCGTTACCACCACAGGCAGTCGCAGTCTTTGTGGATCAGAGGGGGATTTGCCACGATGCGACTTTGATACTAGGACGGTGGTCGATCCCTACTTGGTATTGGTTTACTCTTAGCTTCCTGATAGAAAAGCAAAACTTCTCCCCGGGTTGGGAGACCTTGGCGGGGATAAACCCCCATCTGTACATCGCAGTTCGACACCCAGGAACACCTCCCAGCTACGATGACAGTAAACCCGTTAGGAAGTAACTACATAGCACCATGTATAGTAAAATATGGTGGCCCAACTTTTGTACACACCTCATTTTCATAACCAACGTTATAAATATGTTTCAACACATTTTCATCACTGAGTAAATAACATGAGGAATGTGTAGAAAAAGACTACTTTGACAATCTGTAATACTTTACAAATACTATCGACTACAGAACAAAAAGTTCCTTAAAAAGTAAAATTTCGAAACTTCGAGAGGAATCTTTTGCAAAACAATGAAGTAGCTTCCTCACCTCTTCGTTTTCAAGAGAACGATTCATTTCACCTTGAGTAAGATTAGTCTGCTGAAGATTTATGTTAAGTACCTGCAAAAATACCTGCAATTGTTAACAAATGAAGACAAACAACATAAGACCTGACATTAAAACGAATACCACAATCCATCAAAACGCTAAAATAAATTTTGTGTAGTGACACGATGGGCGCGAAATAAGTTATGTATGACTTGCGCGTTACGGAACAATCTGGCTGGTATGAGTTATGTACATCTGAATTCTTGGGAACACAGAAACATTTCACTAAGGTTTTTGCAATCATTCGACAGGTTAACCAACACACATGTTGTGATGAATGTCAGTCGAGAAAAGCTCTATTGTACACTTAATAAGTAACGACGATATTGTTGTCAACGTAACATTTACTACATAAGGGCTAACATTTGGGCGAATTGAGCTGTACATCAGTACGCAAAACTTTAGGAGAGTTTAGGTCAAGTTTGAAAAATTGCAAAGAGGTATTGCAGCTTGGAATGGACTACTGTAGCCATATCAGGTCTCAACGCGAATTTTTGAGCTAAGGTAGTACACGGAAAACTGTGAATGCCTGATGAAGCTGTTTCGGACAGAAACGCGACAGAAATTAGGTGTTCCAGCTTCTTCCTGTTAGCGTTATGAAAGTTTTTCTATGAGAAGAATGCATACCAATGTGAACGTTCGCAGGTTCTGAAGAGAGCGAAATTCCCCTGAACGTTGGGTACTGCAAAGAAGTATTGCGTTAACTTCGTCTCTGCTTCTCAAGAAATCGTCACTTATTTTTGATGCCGGGAACGATAAAAATCAGTGTTAGGACTCCACTCAATCCTTATTACCTTTAAGATAATACCATTTTTTGGACGAACTCACACGCCGGGATTCGAATGGCAGGGGCACGCATGTCTGCTGGCCACTGAAAATCGGGAACTAGGAACGATAAGCTAAAGTCGCCAACATAAGGTGGTAAAACACTGAGGAAACTAGTGTAACTATTTGTAATATGTGGAAGGGCCTTGCGTGCGTAGAGTTCGCGTTCATAAATGGGTTTGCACAAAGTACGTCTTTGCAGGGCTTGCAAAATCTCAGTTTTATGATCTTTTCCTAAATCAATCATTATAGGGTTGTACTAGAAAACATTTGCTTTGAAGTCTCAATTATTACAACTAACATTTCTTTGCATGGGCGCGTGTAGCACAGTGGCGGAGCCCTGCAATATACATGGTGTCTATCCCCACGCCCTACGCTCACCAAGCTTTCCATCCTCCTGTGGTAGCCAAATTGGAACCAGACTTGTCTGGGAGGATAGCAGCACTGGCCCAACCCAATACATCGGTAGGCCACTGTAAGTCACTGTATTGGCCAGGTATGCATTCAATCACCTCTAACGATGCTTAATTAAGTCGAATGCATGGCACGTCTTTCAGGGATTGATCAACGCCCCAGAGCTTTACCTTTTATCCTTTATCCTTTAATATTTTTGTACACACACTATAATCATAGCAAACCTACACCTCACAATTTCACAGCCTATAACTTCTACAGTTAACACTTCCTGTGGTAACCATTAAAACAATCCTAGAAAGAACAAATTTATTGCATTGATGGTATGTAGTTCCCAGTTGCTTGGCATGCATTACAGCAAATTTCCAATAACAGCCAAAACAATATCTCATTTTTTCTTCCAATTGTTGACCGCCATCTTTCAGAACATAGGGACACTAGCATTACGTCAAGTGGAATCAAACTCGAATGAACTTGAACCTTGGACTCCAATGTTAGCACACATAACCTTCATGCATGTTCACTTTCCGTAAATTGTCTCACTAAACCTTCGATGGCCTAGTCTAGTCTAGTAGTCTAGTCTGGCCTAGTCTCTAATGTGGATATAGACGTCACTTTTAAAGGCACGAACGACTCTTCGATAAAAATGAAAGCTCTGCAAACTCTAATGCTCAAAATACAATTCCAATTGACAAGTTCAACGACTAATCTTGGATAGCTACAATTTTCCATTACATGTTGTATTATCCAAAGAATGGATGTGAGTCAACAGTTCTGTCTCTTGGTATGACGTGGAAGCTAAGAAGCTCAACATCGATAATATTTCTGCGTTGGCAAGCAAACGTTTTCTACTGTGAGACAAATGCGATGTCGACCTCACCAATGGCTGTGGATTCTTCCTCCCATTGCAGTCGATATTTCGGATGGAATGGGCAGTGACCACTGTGCTGAGAAACCAACTACCAAATGCTGACTGCAAAGTCGTTGGGTGGTGGGCGAATCGGGAACGCATCGGGAAGTATGCAGAACATTTTAAACACTACAAAACAGGCACAGACCAATGAATCCTTCCAACTGTTCGACAGCTGCCGGTTTCGATGAGTTAACCTTCACTTGTCCACATCTGTTGGTCCTTTCTGCCATACACTTCAGATTCTTTGTGCAGAACATTTCAAACACTCTTAAACTTTTGCCCAATAATTGTTATCTCATTATGATGCTACAATGATTGAAGGTTATAATATGTAATCGACAGAGATAAAAACATCGAAATACACTTTGTGCACCTCGCAAAACAAAAATCTAGCAAGGACTGACAGCAATGTGGTAGTACAATGGACGGCTTTTTGTTAAGATGTGGAAATGTTTAAAACCATTTCGGCTAGCATGAGTTATGTACTGGCCATAGGCCGGAAATTACGTATTGTCGCCAGTATGTTAAGGAGATCGGTGACCTCTGTTAACGCAGGGTACTAGTGTTTTATATATCTGTACGGAATGGAAGCACTATTAGTCTTTTCGATGAGAGGAGAATGAGGGAGCTATGAGAAATACAAGAAGGAATAAAACAAAGTGATGAAGAACGTGAACAATTCAGTTAACTGATAGAGAACGATCTCTTTGTTCAGTTCTCTAAATTGCATAACCGCTAACATTTAGATCTTACACTACTTGCCAATATTCATGGTCCAAACGAAGACTAAGCTTAAATAGGTGGTGAGATGCAAGAGTCAAGCACATGGACGGGAAGTACAGCACATGGAATGTGTCCAAGAAGATGTAGGAGTCCATCCAGGAGGGCGAAAAACTGCAAAATGGGAAGACGTTTTTGTGGTGTACATTAGTCAACATCCTAGGAAGTTACGAAACACTTCCACATCAGAAAAGCCACACTCACAACATCATCGTGCAAGTCTCCACATGAGCTAGTCTTATTTTCAAGCCTGGTTTAATCAGAATATATACGAATGAAATCGATTTGCTGCTGAAGTTAAACATTTCTGGTGTGACCAAAACAGGCTATAAGGATCAGAACCGTCAGTTTAACTCTCTTTAGTACAAACATTGGTCCTTCTAAGCATTTGATGGGCTTGCTTGTTTAGATGACACAACTGTGATAAGGATTTATGAAAATCCGTATAAACTATGATGTATACCTTCCTTCTTGAACTAATAAAATATTACTCCTAACAATAAAACCTGAAATTGCATATCCTATGGTCACATAAAGTGTCATATCTGCTCTTCGGTGTTTAAACACATTAGTTTGGGCATATCGACTAGTTACAAAACGATTTTCATCTCTGTAACAAAATAATTCCATCTACATGTACGGACACAAATGTGTAGAAGCTGAAGCATGTCATTTTATAACGCTATGGTACAGTCTACAGTCTCATTAATATCCTGAAAAGCAGTACAAGTACGAGATACATTGTTCCATATATAAGAAGAAAAAAGCCAAACTAGCAACTTCTTTCCATGTTTTCAGCGGAAGACTAAAAAAACAAAAGTGCTGAGAAAGGGAATAAAACTCTACTTTTCAGTCAATTATGGAACGGCGGTCTTTGACACTCGTCACCTGAGTTCTCGTCATGACGAAGTATGCAGCTGTTAACGAACTTCTAACTCAAACGGCATCCTCCAATTTGTCTTTTTTCCTTTTTTTTTCAGAAATCCAGAGAAATCCGTATTGTAGTATCTGTAAGTCGTCACCTCATGTTTCTGCCTGCTCTAATAGTCTGTTGTGACGTTTGCTATCTTGTGATTTGATGTCTCTCAAAATGGTGTCCATTTCCAGTAATGCTGAACGTTCGAATGGGTGCTTCCTTGCTTCGGTGAGCTTATTGGAACGATTATTTTGCCATCGAACGTCACAGTTAAAGCAACATCTTCGACAACGATAGACGGTAAACCACTTATAAAAACTGTACCTAAAATGCTAGTCAAACTAATACAACAGCTAAATATTCAGGTAATTGATGTGAACCATTGATGGCTCTGAAAACCAAAACGTCAGTGAGGTCTATGCTCCTCCTTTTTCCTAAGTTCGCCAGGGCTACTGTAGTACTATCGTCTCAGTTATCGATCGTGTTCTTAAAAAGTTTGTCTGCACCAAAAAGTAACAATATCATTGTTTTGACCGTCATACCAGAGGGGAAGTATGTTGTGAACAGTGTATTTACTTTTCTGAAGAGAAAAAAAATTATGACGTGCCATCTCTACACCACGAATTTATGAATGGAATGGATGAATGGATGGAATAGACGTTTATGGATGAAATAAAAGCCTTCATATCCATGTACATACCTCGTGAAACGCATTGCGGCAAGTAAAAGAAAATATAAAATATCTCGAAAAGAATGGAGAACAGGATGGTAGATAAAAAGTGGACAAATTAAAAAAACCGGTAGCAATAAATGAATGACCAAAAATATCACATAACAAAGAATACGACTTCTGTAGAGCATACGTTGGACGAACTTTCTAGTTAATTCGGCTCCATCGCAGGTAAGAACCCCATGTGCTCTCGGACTCACCATGCGCTACATCTAAACATTACAGTTGTTAGAGGAAGATCACAATCCAAAGAAAATCAAACCAAAACAACACGAACGAACAACATACCCATTGTTCAGTCGTTGTTATACTTGGAAACACGAAAACTCTTTACAGTCAACCATAAAACACTCCCTTCCTATTAAAAAACGGCTAAGGCAAAATCACGCTAGCGCAATATTACTTCCATATCAGGATATTTAGACGGCTCGTCCTCGCTAGTTGTGCGAACCCCAGCATAACCTCCATTTTTCGGAGTTTCGCTGGTTTACCCAATGCCATATCTGGCCTTTACTCACGGTGGCCTACCGATGTATCGAGCTATCTGCCATCCTCCCAGACAAGTGTTGCACCAACTTCCCGACCCCACAACGATGGAGAGCTTGGTGGGCCAGGGTCACGGGGATCGACCCAACGTGTGTTGCAGGGCGCCTCCGACCACTACGCCACATGCACCCTTAGGTTTGAAAACACCTTTAAAAACTAAATGAGGTTTATGGGGCTTAATACAACGGACTTTTTCTAAAAGAGTAAAAACAACGAACTTTAATAGCAGACTAAACCTCACTACTGCAAACGATTTATAATAGATCATGAATGGATGAACGATTCTATTTTCCCATTCCACTAACCATCTTGAGAAGCAACACGATTGAGTAGCTCTGTTTCATCAGGCGATAAACGGAGCATTGTTGCTAGAATTGGAACGAGCTGCACACGCTCTCCGGAGACACGTTCTGGACTGAGAAACTGAAATGGAAGTAGTAGTTGAAGTTGCCAGCACGTAGTTAACAAAATTCCACCGACTTTTATTACCTTCAATATAATATTTTTTAGGTATTCACTATTTTCGAAGTGAATCAGTCGCTCTCCATTTCTTTCCAGTCGACGGATTTCTTCTTTGAGGAGCATGCTCTAAAGAGAATGACATTATATTTTACATTTCGAAATGAAAGAACTGAGAACAGCCAATGAAAAAGCAGTCAGGGCTTCAAAAACCTCAGACTGTTCTCCTATAGGGGTTATACCTTTTCATGTATACTCTTCATAGGTGGTCTTACTTCCTAAGGAAGTTGGCATTCGAATAAAACGGCTGTGAAGAAGATGACCACTGAGGCTTCAAGTGTTTTTAAATAAAGTCATATCGACAAGTTTCTTGATGCTATCATTTGCAAGAGCGCAAGAACTACATGCCATCTAGCAAAAAGAAAAGATAAAGCTCTCGGCACTGACCAATCACTGAGGAATGCGCCATACAATCGACTGGTTTGGAGGTGAATGAAAGCATATATGGCCTTCACAATGACTCACGGTTGCCCACCGATGTATCGAGTCAGTGCTGCTATCCTCCCAGACAAGTCTAGTACCAATATGCCAACCCCGTAGGGATGGAAAGCTATGTGATGGGTGCGAGGATCGATTCCACGTGCGTGTTACAGGACACCTCCTACCACTGCGCCACACGCTCACTGCCCCATCTGATACGCTACTTTAAATAAGCATGTAGACAGGAAAACTCTCAGTGCGAAATATTACAGATGGTTTTCCATTACAGAGAACGATTTAATCATTGCTTGCACTGAAAGCGACTAATAGCGAACCATTTAGGGGATCGGAGAACTACTTTCTACTAGGCAATCAACGGTTTCCAGAAAAACAATGGTCTACAAAACTAGTTCGGAAAAAATTTGATTGGTCAGACTTCTGACTTTTGATTCCCTTCTGAAGTGCAGTAAAAATCGAATCATTTTGCACCAAACGATTATTGGTAATCACGTACAGCAAAAGCAAGGGAAAAAAGCTAAAATATGGAGTGGATAAAAATGGCGCTCGGTTACCATCTTGACAATGGCTAACCACACCTTCATATCTTATGTACTCTGAGTAGGATATGGATAGATTTCTAAAAGACAGTACAAATAATACATACTACACATATTTCACTTCTCTGCAACTCTATAGAAATTATTTAGATCAGATTTTTTGCCCAGAAATCTCACAAGTTCCACAATCGAAGCACCAGCTATTGTGTAGGAAAGATATTTACTTACTTGATACTTGAACGGCCCGTCATCACTAGTTGTGCGGGCCCCAGCACAATCATCATTTTTCGGAGATTTGCTGGTTAAGCCATTGTGGTTCCCTGGAATTCCGAAAACAGCCTGGCCGAAGTCTGCCACAGGTCCTCACGACAAGCAGTCGCAGCTCTCGTAGATCAGAGGGAGATTTACCATCATGCGACTTTGATGTCAAGACGGTGGTGGATCCTGGTATTGGTTTACTCTTAGCTAGGTTTCCTGATGGAAGCGCCGGACTCCTCAGCTTGGGAGATCCTGCTGCAGAGTGGGAGTGAATCTCACCGCTGTGCATCGCAGTCCGACACGCAGAAATACCTCCCAGCGACGATGAGGTGGTAAACCGTTGGGTGGGTAGGAAAGAACTAATGTAAATCCAGTGAATAAAGTGGGACTCAAGTCACTGGTCAGCAGCATTCTCTGAATAGTAGTAACAGTCAGCATTTTGGTAAGAAAGACGGAAGAACTTCAGTACCAATCTAAATAATCACAGAATACTGACTTGGTCGATAAGCGTTGCATTTGTCGCTTCCGAATCATTAAGCAGCTCTCTAGTATGGCGTAACTGCTTAAGAAGCTGTTCATTTTCTTCAGTTACAGATGAGAGCGTCTTGTTAATGTTTAAACGGCAGCACGGATCCATGAAATCTTCGCCAAACAGTACGCTTTCCAAACTTCGCTCGTGCTAAAGTAGTTCTTCTGTTTAATCTAATAACGACTAAAAAGTGATAAATTTGTTCATTAGCACTTCTGTTATAAGTGTTGATACTCTTCGCAAACTGTTAAATCGCGCGATCACTGTCTCTTAATAATGATGAAAAAATAAAATTATAAAAATATCAAATCAGGGACGGCGCCTTTTCACTCACGTAGACGACATGGTTTTCATTTTGCTTCTTTACAAATGAGCCTAAAAAAACCATTAATATTATGTAAGAACCTAGAAGAATGTTCACGATTTTACACTTTGTCATCGCTCTGATGTGAAGTATACTTTTGACCGATTCGTATAGTAATCGGCAGGTCACTGTTAACTTCGAAATTTCAAAACATTTCACTAGAAAGTAAGCAAACGACGCTTATTCTGTTACAAAAAGGCGAGATCACAAAATATCATTTACACTGGAGATAGGGAAATGCTAGAAGGATGCAGTCGGAATTGAACAGCAAGAAAACATAAAAATATGTTCTACCAAAAATGTAGCGATATTATATCCGTTAAAAATCGATGTCGTATTTGAACCTGCGCTTTCATGGCAGCTTATACCAGCTCGGAATAAACTTTATTGGCTAAAGTGAAAGCCATTAGAATCTACACATTTTTCCCAATGAGGAGGAGGTATAGTTATACTGGTTGCTTAAAATTGTAGACATATGAAGGTGATGAAATCGTCGAAGGCGGTTCAGAGCTCCGCTTTGTTTCTGAAATATTGTTTGTACAAGAAAGATGGTTGAAGAGTTGGTAGTCGCAAGGTGAGAGCTATGGCAATCATCGTGGACGACACAGAGTTTCGCAGCCTCGCTCGCCCAACCTTTACAGCGTCGGTTGTAGAATGCGCCTCTGAACGTTATGAGGAAAAAGATTGCTCCCTTCCAGTTCATCAGTGGAGCCGCGGCCGTCGAAATTTCCGGTGCATTTTACCGAAAGGCTGGCCATACTTCTTTGCCATAACATTTTCACATGGCTTCAAGAACCTATGATGGATAAAACAGACTTGATCCCATTAGGCCACCATAGTGGCCTTCTTTTGGTGTAATTTCGGCTTTTGTGAGCACCTTTACCGTGGTTCATCCACTGGAGAGATCGTCTCTGGCTATGATACAGGATCCATTTCAAGTCGCAACTCACGATATGTTCGAGAAAATGGTCGTTCTAGTTGAGCACAAGAAGCGCCGTTGATAGACCGAAGCAGTAATTTTTCGAACATCATTCAAATCGTGCAGCATTCATCCACTGAACGTCTTCTACTTTTGAACTTTTCAGACGCTCAAGAACAGTTGAGACGCTTACGTTGAGTTTTGCTTCAAGTTCTCGAACAATTGTACAGCAGTTACTTACTTCCATCAAAGCCTTCAATTCATCGATGTGAATAGTAGAAGGACATCGGCGAGAGATCAAAATTGCATTGCGCGCGTTCATTAATACTTCGTCTGTCCCATACCTCATTGTTTCGAGACATTTCCACCGCTAAAGTCCGACACTGAATTCGTAAAAGTATATTTGTCTAAATTGCTTTTTTGACATCTGAAATTGTAACCTTTGAAAGTTGGTAAAAACGCAATTTATGTTATAATTCAAACGGAGCGAAGGAGCAAAAAATGAGCTTTGCAATGATATACAAATGTACAGTAATCTAAAAAGAATATTGCTGAAGTATAAACAGGAAAAACCAAACCACAAATCCGAAATTAAATTCTGAGCAACTTAGTAGGATGTATTGATATCCATTTTAAAAAAGTGAGTGTAGTGTGGTTCGAAACATCCTTTCATTTAAGGACAGCATAAATCTTGTTTATGTGACGATTAACCCAACTAAATATGATAGAAACGAATAACCTTCCGTATAAGCAAAGAAGTCGCAATATTGAATGTAAAAAAAGATGGCCATGTACAAACAGTGTCACGTCCCACGATAAGTCATTTTAACTCTTTTTGGAGATAAGGTACACGCGCTCCATGATGCAATAGGTTCACTGTTAGCTGAATTTTTGAATGGCAGTGTTAAACTACTTTCCGCTTTGGGTGATCCTGTTAAGCAGCCCACAACTGGGTGAAAAACCATTGTGGGATGTTACACCGTTGTTCTAGCCAAGATCATAATCTTAGGCACACATCATTAACTGTAAAAAAGGTTATTCAGCATATATATATATATATATATATATACGTATATATATGCATATGCATTTATATATGCACCTATATATATGCACACAAACGAACAAATAAATAAGTAAATAAACGAATAAATAAATATAGAGAGAGAGAAGAATGATAAGGCATTCGGAGTCGGTCTACCCCTTGTGGACACTTGCGCGATGAAATCGACTCCATAAACAGAACTGACAGTACGCATAGTTGGCCTATATAATGATTTGCAGGACTTATTGAGGTCTCAATTATTGTCGTCCTAAAACACAAATGTAGTAGCACTTTACCGGCTTCGAGGGAGTGAGGGTTTGGATGGCCTGGGATGCTGACTCAAATCAAAGACCACTAACGTATTGTCATTTACTTGTGAACACAGCACTAAACGCGCTCAAATTTTATGTAATATATATATATATATATATATATAGATATATATATACATATATATATATATATTTGCATACATACGTATTTATGCATACACAGCATATGTGTATGTATACACATATGCTTATATATATATACATATACAACATACAATACCAGAAATACTAATACGTCAATGGTAATACCTGTTCTTCGTCATCCATAAGGGTACCGATAGACACTTTTACACACGGTCTTGGTGCCGGAGGATTGGATTCAACAAGATACTCGCTACGACTGAAAAAAAAGGTGCTTACTCGTAACAAAGTAGCGTAAACTTGTGATACTACCAATAACAAGCGCCTCTCAAGGAGAAATGTGAAAATCTTGAGAACAGAAAATGTCTAGATGCGGACCTACGATGCAAACAAATGGGAGAAGCGGAGGAAGCCCGAACTCGCTCTTTCTGAGCTTCGCTGAGACGCCGCATAGCTTCTTCATAACGATTCTTCTCCTTCTCTAGTTCACTTGTAAGCCCTGCCTCTACAACTGACCTATTGGCTACTTGCTGTTCTATTTCTCGCAAAGCCTAAAGAATTGCCTACAACGATTTAAAACGGCGGAAGTTAACATTCGCAGTATCCATGGTATACTGGCGTTATCTCCTATCTAATAACTTTGAATAAATTCGGGAAAGGTGGAAAATTCAAAAACATTCCTAACACAGGAGCGTAGCAAACTAGAACGGAAACATATGTATACCAATCTTTACGAGTATCGAATGATTTTGAATCTTGACAAATTAACAACTGCTGCAGCAGATTATTTGTTAACAGGATTCCATGAGATGTCGAACGAAACAATGCAATATCCTTCTGTACGATGGTGAAATCCCCACAGTTCAGGAACAGAGTGACGGTTGTACACACGAAGTCTCTCAGTCGTAATTTCACTGTACATAGGAGGAATGAGGACATTACTAACCCTCGCTAAACTTCGACCAAAAATGGAAAAAAAATCGTAACGATTAAACAATTCAGATAGTTGTTGTTCATTACGAAATTCGGCATTAAAATGATTCAAGAATAATGAATTTTGTTGCCAACCTCATCCTTCGCTTTGACCAATTCTTGCAGTTTTTCTTCCATACAACTCAGCTGTGATCGATATTTAAGACATTCGGAAACACGAAGTTCCAACATCACTTTACAATTCAATAGTTCTTCGTTTCTAAAACAAAGTAGAAACCATATGCACAAAAAGAGTTCATGTATAGGAAAGTTTTGGGAACTTACGTTTGCATCACCCTATGTTGTAGTTCAAGAGTATTAGCTTTAGCACTGCGATTAAGCGATTCATATCTCATACACTGCTCCCGATATTTTCTAGCGTCATTAATTACAGTTCTGTGAGTGACACTAAACCATTCTTAATGGGTTACATTCCACATCAAGCCTCTTTTAACTTCGAAGAAAAACTTAATAAACTCTCGAAATTGCTTCAATGAATAAAACAAAACGTTGAGAACTCAATAAGTTAAAATTAGACAAAGAAATACTGTAATTCTTCCAAATCGTTCATGACTTGTATCAAAGACTGTTGCACAGCCTCCGTATTCAAACCGTTAATTGTTCCTCCATTCTCCGCAGTTTTTGCTTGTTGCTCCAATACGTAGCGTGCACGTGACTACAAACACAAACTTTCAGAAAAACGAGACGTTTGAGAGGTTTGATGTACAAAAAGAGTGAAACAAAAAGCATACTTTGTATGAAATGAAGTCGTCTTCTAAGTTATGGCAACGAGTCCTTAACATCTCATTCTCCGCTAAGAGATTACTGAGTTCGGCAGATCTTTGTTCACTAATTTTTTGCCAGCTAAAAACGGGAGAACTCACATGAAAAGCAATCATCACCATCTCCTAAAACAAAATAATTACTGTTCAAATCAAGTGCAAGATCACTAGCTCGGTAAGAAAAATCAGCTATTAAATAACGCCTATTTTCGTTGCTCTCAACGGTTTACCGCCTCGGGTTGCGATGTACAGCGGCAGGATTCGTCCCCCTGGCAAGGTCTCTCAAGCTGAGGAGTCCGGTGTTTCAATCAGGAAACCTAGTTAAGAGTGAACCAATGCTAGTATCCGTGACCATCCTGGAACCAAATTAGTCGCATGGTGTTAAATTTCCCTCTGATCCACAACTGCGGCGATTATCCGTGGTGACGACGACCTAAGGAAGATTTTGGCCTGGCTGACCTCGTGACTCCAGGAAACCACAATGGCTAAACCAGCAAAACTCCGGAAAAAAAGAGATTAAACTGGGGCGTCATCTAAGTATCCAAGTAAGTAGGCACTTTAGTTGCAAGTAAATAGCGTTTTCACTTGTTCTTATATGTGGAAATTAACTCTAGGTCTAGTAAGGCAATCCAAGTTATTCAAAACAAGAACAGTACCACGACGTCCTTGTAAGATCAACTAAACAGATTTCACTAAGATACATAAATACTAATTTAAAAGTCTTCCAAAGAAAAAAAAACAGGAAACTGTGGTGCCCTGTAATAAGTACTTGAATAAGCCGCTGTCTACTTATTTCATATCGTCTTCCCATGTTTACAATAACAGTAGAATACACAGTAACTAGGATAGATCATCTTCTAAAAAAAATGAAGTAAAACAGACTTACTACAGCAACCGTTCTTCATTATGAGCAATCTTCGCCTCAAAAGTCACTCGTTCTTCGTTCCTAGCCGTTAGAAGAGTATTAGAGTTGTCCTGGAGTTTGTCCACAGTTGATGTGAGCTCGCGAACACGACACTGTTCTTCTGAATAAATGATTATTAACCATTTTTCAAAGATAGACTGGACATCCTAGATAGAAAAAATTATCGAGTAATTACTACAAGTTTTTACTATCTACATTCAACACCATACCATGTAACCTATTGCGAACTTCCTGAAGCTCAGACTGTAATGTTAAGCAGTCGGCGTTGATACGATCATTTGATAGTCTGAATTTTTTCCAATGAATTATAAGATCTACTGTCGAAGAAGCTCCTAAAGAAGTATTTTAAAACTTGTGGTTGCTCAGTTGTTGGATTAACTCTTCCTTCTCGAGTTTTGATGCCTCAAGAGCAAGTTCGGCATCTTTCAAAGACTTATTCAATTGCACCATCTGAAAAGTCAGTCTTGGCTGAAACATTTTCTAAAAGATAAACAGAAAGGGTTCAAGATATAAAAGGAAAAATAGACAGATGAATACATGAAAGAGATGATAGAGGATACTAGTCATTCTGAGACAGCATCTGCCTCCAACACCAAATCATTGCAAAATATAGACATCAAATAGGACTAAAAGGGTGAGAATTACACTTTTCCAAACATCCTCATATATTAAACACTAAACGATAGATGTTTACCACTGGGATCTAGTTACTGCGAATAACAGCATAATGGCAGAAATCAACCATTTTTGTCTTTTTGACGACCTAAGTGCGAATATAACTTAAAGAAATACTAAGAACACCTAAAGATTAGAACCTTCCCTTTCGTAGTTCATCAAAAACGCTGTTCTACCAGCTACGAACACAATATAGCAAATATGAAATCTATAAAGCTTTAATATGAAAGCACCTTTTTTTCATAGTCCTTAAGTTCCAGTGAAAAAACATCAGTTGCAGTCCGCTGTTCTCGAAGTGCAGCAGCTTCCTCTATAACGTTCTCAAGCTGCGAACGAAGTTCATTGTTGATTTGCAAAGCGGCAGCTAGGTCATCGTCAGTCCGAGACCGCTAAAACAACAACCAAATTATCTTAAGCATCCACTGAGCATTTCTATGTACAATAATAACGAAAGTTCGGCGACGGGCAAAAATTTACTAGGTAAAAAGTGTATAATTGGTAGAGCAGTATATGGTACAGACAGTAGCCAAAGCTTGAATGGAACGAATAGGAACTGCAGTCGCTATACGTATAAATGATAAAAAAAAGATAAAGCTGTCGGCGTTGATCAATCATTAAGAGATGTGCCATGCATTTGACTTCCTCAGGCATCGTTGGAGATGAGTGAATTGTATATCTAGCCTTACAATGACTCATGGTGGCCTACCGATGTATTGAGCCAGTGCTGCTATCGTCCTAGAGAAGTCTGGTACTAGCCTGTCGACCCCGTAGGGATGGAGAGCTTGGTAGGTATGGGGATCGATGCTACACGCCCCTCTCCCTATACGTATATGACTTATGACTCACCTGGACTCATAGTCTAAAGTTGAGCAATTCGTGATGCTACATGGTGTTAATTTCAATCAAAGTGTTCGTTCTACCAAAAGATACAATGTCAGTTAGAGCAGTATTAAGCATAATACAAAGCTCGTCATTTACCTCAATCGCATTGCAGAAATAGCATAGTATTATAGGTAAGTTAAACAGACCTTGTCAACAAAATTGAAAAAATTAACATCATTGTCTTCAAGATGAGATGTTGTCTTCAGGGACGCAATTTTCGTAAGAAGATCCTTGATTATTAACTCTTTTTCTTCCTGAAGAATTTACTGCATAATCAAACACATAAACGTTAAGATATCAAGTTTGTTCAAATAATAGAAGTGCAAGAACTCGAAAGCCTGAGATAGGATAGAATAACGCTCCTGAAGTTGAGAAACCTCACTGAGGAACCCAACTGCCTTCGTTTTCGCTGATTCATTAGGCCGAAAAGGAACCAAATATGAATTTGATATGTATAATGACTTCTGATCACCTTTTCCCCTCCTAGTGTCCCTCCCTATCCATCTCAACACTTAGCACTTTTCGCTGCCTTTTTCCATTAGCAATACTTTGCACCTTCTATTAAGTAATTTGCACTGCAACAAATCGGTTTTAGTTCCTCATTTATTCCTTAATTTTGCTTTAGCTCTACCTTCGATATTCGAACAACACTGGTCGTTCAGTAACTGTTCACCAGAACACTTTACAATCACCAAAAAGACTCCCTAGACATTATTTCAATTCAGAACTAGACTTCTACTCACTCAAAAGAACGCCTCATTCACATATGAAATAAAAGAAAATATTATATCAACAAGGGCGCGTGTTGTGCAGTGGTCGGAGCACCCCGCAAGAAACATGGGATCGATCCCCGTGTGCAAGACTCCGCCAAGCCTTCCAACACTCCGGGGCTGGGAAATTGGCATCAGACTTGTCTGAGAGAACAACAGCACTAATCGATACATCGGTAGCCTCCTGCGAGTCATTGTAAAGGTTAAATATGCATTCAGTCACCTCCAGCGATGTTTAATGAAGTTGAATACATGGCGTATACTCCAAGGATTGATTAACGCTGAGAGCTTTATAGGAGAGGAAGCTTATATAAAGAAGAATTCTGCGTGTGTTTGCAATACTACCGCACTATTCATGCAGGGTATTTCGCTACGTCAAGAAGATGAATCAATTTAAATTGGCATACGATTCTTAAACATTCAAAATATTAGATCAAAACTATGCACAGTCCAAGTTTGCAGAATTTACAAGTGGCAGAAGAACAAGTAATAAAAAACAATACAGAAGTGCTAGATATGTTATATGAATGCCAGCAACAGGTCCGTAGCTTATTCTGTTCAAAGGAGCTGTATAATGAAAAAGCTAAAAAGCTCTCGGAGTTGATCAATCCCTGAAGCATGGGTCATGTATTCGATTTCATTAAGCATGATTGAAGGTGACTGAATGCATATCTGGGCTTTATAATGACTCGCGGTGACCTGCCGATGCATCGAGCCATTGCTGCTATCCTCCCGGATAAGTCTAGTGCCTATTTGCTGAGCCCGGAGTGATGGAGGGCTTGATTAGCCTGGGGCCCAGGGATCGACCTCATTTGTATTGCAGGACGCCTCCTACCACTACGCTCCACGCGCCCCTGTATGATACAAGGTTGTAAAAACTCCCTGTCGTACACGATCAACCAAACAACAGTGTACACCTTGGGATGGGATGGGACACCGACTTTAGGAAGTCTATAATCAACACGATGATGTCATAGATGAATAAGAAAAACATAGACTTTCGAAAGATAAATCGCCTTTACAGGGATCAAGAAAAAAACCCGGTGATACCTGCTTCTTAAACAGTAGTTTGAGGGAGCATAACTGCCGCTATTTCTGAGCAGTATTTCTTCAAATTTGAGGCAATGCGTCGAGAAATGACTAAAACTATTTAAAGGGAAACTAACCAGCAATTCCTTCAACTTCTTAGCCTCGATCTCTGATTGGCGAGCGTTATCCAATTGCTTTTTCACGAAACGGATAAGATCTTCACGACTGAGCGCATCGAGCTAAACAGAAAAACCAAGTGACTAGGAACATCCACCACGGACCGCTTAACGAAATACCAAAAATTATGTTCCGCTATGACCACGAGGACCGATTTATAGGTTTCACTACTCTGTTTTGTAGAAGTTTAAAAACTTTTGCATTTCTTGTTCAAAATTGCAGTTACAACCAGATTATTTTTGCTATACTACATTAATTCTGCCAATGGTCTGCCGCCTCATCGTAGCTGGGAGCTATTCCTCGGTGTTGGGCTGTGATGTACAGCGGGAGTATTTATTCCCCTGGCAGTGCCTCTCAAGCTGAGGAATCCGGCGTTTAAATCAGGAAGCCTAGCTAAGAGTGAACCAATGCTAGTAACCGTCGCCATCCTGGTACCAAATTAGTCGCATGGTGTTAAATTTCCCACTGATCCAGAAGGGCGGCGATTGCCCGTGGTGGTGGCGACCTGAGGCGGACATTGGCCTGGCTGACCTCGGGACTCCAGAGAACCACAATGGCTAAACCAGCAAAACTCCAGAAAAAAGGAGGTTAAGCTGGGGCCCGCACAATCAGTGAGGACGCGCCATCTAAGTATCCAAGTATCTAAGTATACTACAACAACGTTGCGAAAAATTGCGAAGCATTCTATTAATTAAACAGCCAAGTACAAAAAAGAAAAAAAGGTGAAGCGGTTACTTTAAAGAAATGTGGAATAATCCGGAAAAGATATTTAGAATAGAAAAGCAAATGCAAAGTACTTTGAAATTTCTTCTCTAACGTCTACCAACTTATTGGATGAGTTGTGTGAAATCGACTACACGAAAGACTTTGTTCAACCTTGGATTTCGTTTGGCTAGTTGTCCGGCGTTCCTCCTCCGACAAGTTCGTTTCCATGCGTGCAACGAGCACGATTTAAACTTTGGTACTTCACCTGAAATGCAGAAGTTCATAGGTCCGCACAAAACTCCCGAGATTATGGCAAAGTCAAAGTAGGTTTAGTGCTTCAAAATGGCAAGGCGTTAACACTACTGTTTATGCGAACATTTCGAATACGATGGCATACATATCTCTCGCTTGACCAACCTTATAAGCACTTGGTTTCTCCGCAGAGTTGGACTAGTTGGGGGTCAAAGTTCACTTCAATTCTCGAAGAACATTCATATTACGGAAAAAGCTCCAAAAACCATGGAGTGCACAATGAAAATATGAAAACATTTCTAAGTAGGAACTTAACCGAAATACAATATTAAATATTTTTACAAAGCTACCGACGTGGATTCCCACATAGCGCATAGTTGAAATTCGCATAATTACAGGCACGTACATTGTCGTCTGGCGCGTTGTAGGAGTTATTTAATAAGGCAGAGAAAGAAAAAAAAGAAAAAAGTAAGAGATTTCGCCATTAAACAGAAAGAAATACGATGCTGCTGTCATTTTTAAGTAGTTTCATTTATGCTGCTATGAAAATTGCAACAATTCTAATTTTCATTCGGTATAAATTTCTTCGGATGTGTAATGTGCTCGAAACGAAAGTAATGCATACTTACCTCTGTATTTACTGCATCTTACCTTTGATATATCCTCTGCCATTCTGTTATCTACTTGTACTTTATTACGAAGATCATTCAGGTGACTCGTGTGGCGCAGTGACCGGAGGCGCCGTGCAGCACATATGGGATCGATCACCATGTCCGTGGCTCACCAAGGCTTCCATTCCTCTGGTGTCGGCAGATCGCTACCGGACTAGTCTGGGAGGATAGCAGCACTGGCTCGATACATCGGTAGGCCACCGTGAGTCGTTGTAAAGGCCAGATATGCATTCAATCACCTCCGAACGATGCTTAATGAAGTCGAATTCACCTTGATCCTTTATTTGTATTTTACTACGAAGATCATTATATGGAATAATTGTAACTGGAAAGGTCCTGGCCGGAAAAACACGAACGAATCCTATGTCAATATGCTGCTAAGGATCACTGTAAACTTTAAACTTTAACTTCAGTGATGCTGAGATATTTGAAAAACTACGGTGGGGAACGAACGCGTTACTCCCCGGAAAGGACAATAGCGCGTTTGTTCCTCACCTCAGACACCTGCTGTCCGGAGTTTTGCAAATATCTCAGCATCATTGAAGTTATATTTCGCAATATACCCTGCCATCAAAAAGAGTAGGCAGTAAATAAAACGGTTAAGATTTAAACTTTAAGTTGTATTTGAAATGTTTTTGTGCTCACAATATTTAGGGGATACATTCTTGATGAAATATAATAGCAGTTTCTACTCTATAGCACTAACATAATTACAACCATGCTAAGATATTCGCACACTTGGCACACTTGGATGCAAGAGTAGCCCAGTGGGTTTGGACGCTCTAGGGACTCGTCGAGCAACATATCTTTTTTCAAGGCCCTTTGTGAGGA